AGAAGTTAGAGATAGCTTTAAATAAAATGGAAGCGGTATTGACAAAACAGTACTGTATAAAAATAAATAAAAATAAGACAAAAATACCGGTATTCAAGGGAAGAAAAAGTAGGGAAAGAGAGAATATAAAGATAGGAGACAAAAAATTAGAAGAAGGCTATTTTATGCGGTTTTTATTTAACCCTATCGTTGAAATTCCATCAATCAAGAATTAAAATTTCATTGGTTCAAACGTTTTTTTGAACGAGATTTAATATAATTTGGAACTTTGATGAGGATATTAATTAATGGAAAGCTCTTCAAAACGAAGACATGAACCATTGACCACTGCATCTCTAATTACGACCTCTTTCCAATAACTTCTTATTTTTAATTTCTTCTGTGGTCAATTTGAGACGTTGGTGAAGGTCGAAAGATCAAAGACATTAGGCATTATTATTCACACGCTTAGTTGTAGCATTCTATCCAAATAAATATGTAGTTTAATACAAACTATTTTATACAGAAAAAGGCATTTAAAATAAAAAATTCAAATAGTACATTGATATTTAATTCAATATCTGTGGGAAATTTTAACAGTATACCCGTGATTAGGTATTATTACTATGGAGCTATACTCAACTATCAAATTGTTTATGCATGTATGTTCAATGCTGACCGACTAACGACACTGACCTTCAGCAAAAGCTCCACCGAAGAAAGCGTTATTGGTATAATTTTATGTTACCCATGTTGGTTTAAGATTGTAGTATATCAACAGTTACTAAGAAGTAATCACGTAAGTATTAATAGAACGTGAGAAAAGGATAAGGGAATAAAGGCTGTCTTGAACAGGTTTTATATATTTTCCCAAATAATGATATCTTCATTTACACAAAGATACGATTAAGCTTTCGTAAATTGATGATCAGCAGAGTTTTATATGATAAACGTATGATAAAAACATGAAAACCAAACAATTTAAAGATTTCAAAATGTAGGTGTACAGATTGTACCGAAATCCTATTAATTAAGTAGTCTCTGCTTTCGATTCGTTCACGTGAACTACTTGATTTATTTAGAGTGCTTGGTTCGAAACCGTTTCAGATATTGTCATGAAAAACTAAATTCACTTTAGGGGTTCTTACATATGTACAAGCCAAGTGTCAACTTTGTCAAATTCATTGCATTATAGTCAAATCTGGTCTTATATGGTGCGGGGCCTATTGTCACTAACAAGATACGTATATGAATCAAATCTGTTATCATACTAGAAAAAATGTATACACCTGGATGTTAAATAAGGAATTTTTATATTTTTTCTTACTTTTTCGAAATGTTCTATCAGATTTAATAAATTTTTATGGAAAATGGTCCTTCGTCAAACTCTTTGAAACTTTGAATTCTGGTAGTTCTCGACGTGGAGATTAAAAGTTTCAGTAGGCGCTAAGTCGTAGAGATATGGTGTCTTAGAGTTGCATTCTTCCCTAAGGACTTCCAAGGTACATTGGTTGTCCTTTAGAAGATTAGGTGTAGGTGCGTGTCTTGTCTTAGGACTGACTACCTTATGATAATGATTATGGTTGTCCTTACAGAAGAATGCAACTTAAAGTTACCGTACCTAAAAAAGATGATTTTTTACGATTCAGCGCTCTTTGAGACCTTTGATCAACACGTCGAGAACTATCATAATCCATATTTTCAAAGATCTCGACAGAGGACTATTTTCTGCAAGGATCTAGAGAGGTCCTTTATAATTAAAGATTAAGAATTGCAAGTCCGCGAGAAGGTAAGAGTGACGCATTTTGAAGATAGTTGCGAAGTCTCTTTTATCGTAGCAGTTTCAGTTTTAAGTTTTGTATAAGGTCCTTCTCCTCCTATAAGTACCAAGAAGAGTGGGGATATGGGTCATAATTTAACTGAAGCAAATGATCATGAAAAGCGTTGTGAGAAAGTACCATAGTGAATTCTCGCCCGAGTCGATGACGAGGGCTGTAAATTCCTGACAGGGGGTACCTTAGGATCCGAGTGGACGGTTGAAAATATGCAGAGGGTGGCAAAATCCTATTCTGATAAGTAATAAATGCAATTTTTACCTGTGAAGGAATATTGCGTTTTCGTCCCTGAAATTAGGGGAAACATTTTTTCCTGTCAAATTTATTGATCAAAGTACAGACTAAGAAGGTTAATGGATAATTGGGACATTGGGCGTCCTGACTAAGTGTGAATCGTCAGACCCGTGAAAATCAGGACGTTCTGAGCTAATATAACAACATTCCTTATCTACTGCGCAGAGGAGCATATCAAGCTATGCAAGTAGTTTGTACTTCTATCTCTAGTCTTCCTGGAATATTGGCATGTAAATCAAATTAATAAAGAACATTCGTGGTCCACATCTACTACCTGTAGTTTCATGTTCTTTATTGTCCTTTTCTAACACTCTAAGTAATTTGAGTGCGATTTTTTTGTTTTTAATCTGGTAACTGCTACAGAAATTTGTTTAGCTGTTAATCAATGTCATAATAAGCATTAGTATCACAGTTTTTAATACCGAATTTTGGTAAAATTTCGTTGGCAAAGATAAGAGGTTAAGAACCTCTGAAGCTGGCACTAGATATATTTCACATAAATCTGCAACAAGCAGGTAAATGGTGGGTGGAAGATTAGATCTGTTGTGAAATAATTTGACCAAAGAATAATATTGTTCGTTGGTCGTCGTTTAGCGAAGCTGCGAACCGAAACTAATTGCAGGTGTCGGGTACAGTTTAGATGCTTCAACCGATTGCCATGCACACACTCGAAATGTTTAATTAAATGCATTTCCCGTTGTTGTGTTATTACTACTTTTTTTTTATCTGATAAACGCTACAGTCTTTATTTCCTTTGTTATATCTACTCGTTTCAAGTTGAATTTGTCGAGTTTACGCTCAACTGCTCCTTGTCATTTTTTTCTGTATGCACATTAACAGGTAATAAAATATAATAATTTAATAAACTAAAATTACCGATAAAAAAAACTGTTAACACGAAAAACATAAGAGTGTTATTCGTAATCGTTACTTCAATTGTCTCTAAAGCAGAATGATGTTGGTCCGTTTTCTACAATATTCACTTCTAATCGTAAAATATCTGGAACTGTCAAACTCATTGATTAACTACTAAGGTGGTTAGTGAAATATTGGACATTTGACGTCCTTGAAAATCGGAAAATGCTGACAGCTGGCCACACTAATAACTCTAGGTATTATCCTTGTCCTAATACATGATTGTCGGAAGTTTTGGTACGGTCTTTAGGTCTTGGTCCCTCCTATGTTGGGTTAAATACATTGGTCGAAGGTCGACCACACGCGATTTGTGACAATTTTTAATATAATATGCTCCAAATTTGAATGACTTTTCAAAAATCTGAAAATACGCAAGCCAATACGAGTGTCAAGTGTCTGTTGTTTTTCAAAACCCAAGAAGTATTTTCGCGTAAAGAGGAAGTCCGAAAAATTCCATTTTTAACAATTTCAAAAACCAGAATAGAGTACTTAGAGTTCTCAAATTTACGATTAGTAATCTTCATCATAACTTCGTCAGTCCTAAAACTTGTTGGACACGCATGTCCACTCTTTTCTATCCTGAGATAATCTTCACATTTTCCTAAAACTAGAACATTCCACGTCCTTAACTATTTGCGAACAGTAATCTAGTCTAGCTCTACTTCGACTCCTCACAACTCATGTTTGTTCTAATATGTCTCTAACTGGCCCTTCATGCCTGAGAAAGTGTTCTACCAACCTATCTCACCTATTTCCTATTTTGACTTTCATTCCATTCCACTATTTTCCTATTCTTTTTAATACTTCTTCATTTCTAACCACCTCTATCCTCGGTATCCTGATCATTCTCCTGAAACGCCACATTTCGGACACTTCTAACCGTTTCTTTCCACCGCGCTCACCGTCCACGTTTCGCACCTGTACAGCACCACTCTCCAGATATATCTTTTTCGAATTTTTTTTTTTCGCGACTCGACCCTGCGCTACTGTTCCTTCCATCTTGAGTTATCTGACTTCCTAGTTATAGAAAATCAGCAACTTCTTCCAATTTTTCGTCTCTTATCTTTATATTCACTTTTTCCCTACTGTGTCTACCCTTGCATATCAGTATTTTTATTTTACTTTTATCTATTTTCATACGATGCAGTTTTGTTAGTACTGCTTCCATTTTATTTAAGGATATCTCTAACTCCTCCTTGTAATAATAATCTTTTGTCCCTGTATATCTATCTCACAGTTGTCCTATTTAATGATGTTTATCTCGTCTTTCATGTATTGCCTGATCCCCTTCCTGATATTTTACTTCTCTACGTTACTGCTCAAGTTCTATAATTGCCTGTTGTTCTTAAGCAAAATCTTCTGTCCCTGTATCTCACCCCTACATTTTTAAGTATATTTAAAATTTTGTCTCATTTTTCATGTCAAAAGCTTTTCCTAAATTTACGAATCCTATGAACACGCTCTTTCCATTTCCTATAGATTTCTGGAACGACTGGTAATAATTTAAGTTAAATCAGTTGTTAATTAGTTGTTCTGAATAAATATTTGTACCGGTTCATTATTTCTGCTTAGTACTGTATGGCGGTAGTATCATCCTAATAACCAACGGTGCTTTGTACCTTGTACCGCTCGATATAAGCAGGCACGTGAAACGAGGTAGGCTTGCGTTCCGTCTCAATTCGTAGTAGTTCGGAGGTTCGGATATCGTCGTGAGACATAGCATTTAAATGCAACATGGCTTCCAGTGACCTGTCACTAGAAGAAATTCGCGAATATTTTTTAATAAAAGGTGGTACAGTGGCTAACCGTGAAGTGGTGAAGCATTTTAAGAAGCATCTGACCGACCCTGTGACTAAAGGTTTGTTAACTTCCTTTGTTGATTATTGATCTTGTGCCATACATGACTCGGACTGAAGGTTTGTTTACCTTCCGCAACCTGTGGCTGATGCTAGCATACAGTACCATGCGAACGTAATGAGTCGTTGTGGAATTGAATCATTTAAAGGGCCGTTATTCGTAGCAATCAAATAGTACGTAACTTGTATAAAAAATTTAATGAGTTTAGGGCAAGCCACATACTATATAGGCTTTTATAGCAGTATATTTTCTTTTAAGAAATTAAAAATGAGAGATAAGTTTATCTTTCTACATGAATGAGTTTGTAAACATTTACAGGTTTTTACGATTAATAGAAAAGAAAGATAACCAGCTGACTAATATGTAAATGCATTAGTAATATGGGATTATCTAAATACGTAGTCTATTTAAAAGTATACGAATTATGCATTTATGAACGATAACCATTCACGAATATAGGTTTGTCGTTTGTGACGACCAATAAAAGATCGATAGATCTTTCTGTTAATTAATTTATCCAGTAATTGTTTAAGTGGTACGTTTTTATCATTTAAAAAATTAATTTGGATTTTGCGTAAGATATTGGGTCGAGGGACGGGGGGGGGAATCTTACGGCTTCTTATACGCAAGGGGAAGCGGGGATTTAAACTTATGAGATGTTTTAGTAATTGTCGAAAAATTGGGCTACCCTAGTTAAGAGCAGCCTTCCTACATCTGTTGATTTGTTTGTATTGAAGACAAAATATAATCGGTAATTGAGAATAGTATTTTTGTTCGTTTCAGATGATGCGCGCGTCAAATTCAAAAAATATATCAACACCCTTGCTACTACGCGAACCGATGGTACTGAAAAGTTCTTAACATTGCGACCCCAATACATTGGATCTGCTTCTCCTTCTTATCAGTCCGTGGGTATCCCTAGACCACAGATCATGCCCACTTCACCGACTTATTCGATGAAAGATTTTCATGCAACTTCTCCTTCATCGTCACCAGTGAGACAACCACCCCCTTATCGTCCTCCTCCTCCTGTCACGTCATCGCCAAGCATTTCTCTGGACAACGTGTCCATGTGTTCTTCGAACGTGTCCCTTCAGGACGTGATGGGCACCCCGCAAGCACCCCCTAGAAATCGTAGTAGAACCAGTATCCGAAGCGATAGTCAGGAAAGTTTTGATAAAAAATTAGATAAAGAACGGTCCGCTGAGGAGGACAAAGAGAACGTTGATAAAAAGCCCATTAGTGTTAAAGAACGTACTCAAAAGTTTAATCGGTTAGCGTCAGTGGAGGATGAGCTTAGTCCGAGGCAGCAGAAGGAAAGAAAGCGTAATCAAGAGAGGGTAAGTGATTCGTTTAATTTCCATTTTTTGTAACGATGGACTCGACACCATGTGACTTGAAACATTTATCGGAATAATAATCTTGCTGTATGTATTATTGCAGCTTACAACTTTCGTCACTTTTAAGCTAGAAACTTTAAATACTGTAAAATCTGCGACCTCTTAGTGTTCGTTCCAACTTTGCATATTTTGATACTGGCTGACTAGCTCATGCATCAAAACGTATGTGTTTTCCATTTCTATGTTATCCATGCTAGGATAGATCGTAAGCTTGTATTAGTTAGTGGACGATGTTTCTTATCATTTGATTGGTTTGTAGATTGTAAAGGGTTCTGCAGTGCTTTAAGTATGTTCAGTGAGTCAACCAGAACTAAATAAGATTCTATATTTTGTGGATTTATTAAATCTATGGTCTTCTGGGTGACAAGCTTCATATGTGAATACAGAGCACATTTCTGGTTATTTATAGTAATTTTGTTTTTCATCTAGTATCATTACGCATCCTTGCTCCCTCCTCGGTCTTGGGACCATCAGTAATGATTTATTGTGTTTGTTTGTCATCATCATAAGATCGTCAGTCCTAAGACTGCTTGGACACGCACCTCCACTCTTTGCTATTCTGAGTTAATCGTCGCGTTGCGAACAATAATCTAATCTTCGTCTACCTCTACTCCTTTTAACTCCAGTTTCTAATGTGTCTCTGACTAGACCTTCATGCCTGAGAAGGTGTCTTACCAACCGATTTCCTATTGACTTCTACAGAGTCCTCTGTTATCCTATTATTTCTATTACCTCTTCATTTCTTCTAACCTTCTCTATCCACAGTATTTTCATCATTCGCACCCTAATCTTTATTTTCCCGTTGCGCCCACCATCCATGTTTCCCACCCTTACAGCGCCGCGCTCTAAACATACGCCTTTAGCAATCACAGAATTCGATGAGTAGATTCTTCTTTTTTTCCTACTTTCGGTTCATTTTGATCTCTATATATTTTAGAGGCAAAGCATTTCGGTATGGATTTTATATTAATTTATGTTTCTGTTGAAATTTTAATTTAAATGTATTTTAATCGTAAAAATAATATATTATTTCGGCAACAATTACTCATGCATTTGACAATTTTTAAAAATATCGTTTCTTGTTCGGATAATATCTTAGTCAATTTCGCATTACATACCTAATATATTATTTCTTGGCCGTATACAAAGTCGATAAATTATTATTTAAGTTATATAATTTGCAAAATTTCCTGTAAACATTAAGTAATGACTACATATGTTTGTTTATGTTCTTAAATTAATTTCATATGGCCATTTGAATAATCGTCGTCCATTATCTAAATTACTATTGGTAGGCAATTCGTGTAAGCAGCGGGAAAACGTCGATAAAAATCAAATAAAGCAAACAATTGAATTAGGAAAATAATTAATTTTTATAATGTTCATTTTTCACTTATTGGATTAGCGGACTTTACAAAACGGATATATGTATATGTATATAATTCTTATACTGGTGATAACCTGGTTCAAAAGACTCGATTGCATCAATTAGCATTCAGTTTGTACAAAAAAAAGGCAAGTACTCAAGAGTAGGTCTCGCGTCTAAGGGATTCTTTCTGTTTTATTATCGTTAAGCTTGTGAAGCAGTTACTTTATATTTATCTATTTATTTAAGAACTGTATATGCGTTTGCTTGTGATTATTGAAGAAAGAATGTGATTCCTGTACCAAAATCAAAGAAATTAAGTTAATCATTTTGGCATAGGATTAGACTTTCAAAAAAGGGTCGCTCTCGGATTGCTCTTAAATTTTTACTCTATTTTCTGTTATATGGACTAGATTCTACATCAAATGAAAGTTTAGGTTTGCAGGAACACAACTATGATGGTCATACGTGTTAAAATTCTTCCATTAGGAAGCACCTAACCGCGACAATATTCACTTCCTATGTGTTCTTATATCTTTCCAATCGCGACCTAAGAAATCAAACAAAATCATTCTTCGCTTAATATAGGCAGTTCTCTTTCTCTTTTCCTTTCTCTATTGACTTCACCTTTACTAAACACTTTTTTATTAGTGTTAAATGTCAATATTTTAGATAAAAGGGAATTTTTACCGAGGACGGTGCTTGTAGTTTCCGACAAAAATAAAAACAAAATATTTTCATTGTCATAGACGTACAGTTACAGTAAATGTACATAAATAAATAATATGACATATTATTCTGAAAATTCATTTTATGTTTTAAGTTATGCTCAAAATGCGAAATAGCCCCTCCTNGACAACTTAGTACTAATATATAATAATAATAATAATATAGTAATTCAAATATTTGCACGTACCTACATGAGTTCATCATGTATCAACAAGTAACGTACATTGTTACATGCTTTTTTTTTAAATATTATATGTATTGTTGTATATGTATATTGGAACAAACAAAACGAGAACTTTGTTTTATTGTTGTGTGTACGATAAGCATTTCTAAAGTAACGATTAGTACAATAATAAAACGTTTATTGAAGATACACTACAAAAACTACTTCCTACGATGTCTTATATGTGAACGTTAAAAATTGGTCACCAAGCCATATGTCCTAATCACTCATAGTGTTTACTTATCTGTTATAATTATACTTGTGCTTATTTAAACGTTATTTCCACTAAATACCTATCAATTTTTTTTTTGGGACAGTAGTTGTTTGTTTATCAAGTTGTTGGTGTTTATTGTGGTTAATGTTGAAATGTCTTTTCGCTTTCATCGTCGATCATGTAGGAAGGTGATGGTGAGTTATTTTTAACAAATTGTGAAAATCAAAAGACAGACTTTTCATGAATGAATTGTGGTATATGATGTTTTTTCGAAAGCTGCAAGTTAATGTTTCAATTATTATTAGTAAAATTATCGATAAAACGCCCCTGTAGTTATGACGTCAATAGTACAGTAAGTGTTTATACCACATACAAGAATGTTGGTGCAAAATAAATAATCATAAAAGAAATAGAATGTCTCAATATACAATATTGTTTGTAAAATGAAAGTTGAAGTCAGGGAGTAGAGTTGTCAGAAGTATCGATACTTCGATATGGTATGGATACTTGCTCGAAAAAGTATCAGATTATCTAAAGTACCGATGGTACCCCAATATCGGGATGTCAAGGTATCGGATCGTATCGATTTAGAAGGATTAAGAAATGACTGATTTTGTGTATTTCTGGGAGATGTTCTGCTAAAATTGCATATATAGTATGTTGGACCGGCAAGATTCTTGATTTCCAATAGAATCCATGAACACCGATATTGACAGAATTTGCTTGTGCTTTTAATGCGCGGCATACCAACTAGTAATTTTATGATCAGCGAAATCGTATCCTACTTTTATTTATATGTACTTATAGATGCGTAGATTGATTGTATTTTGACAGTTATTCATTGCTCAGACCTTTGTGGGTAGATCGTCAACATTCTTTATTAATTAGTTGATGTCATCGTTTGGACGTGGTTCACGTGTTTGGAGTTAATCATTAACAAATGGTCCGGTTTATGATTTAATTTAATTTATCAAGTGTAAACGGCCTGTGTCTATGTAGACGAGTTTCTTGAAAGAGTGGTTTAGTTATCAGGTTTTATTAACATTAACACCTTATAGATGAACGTAATATGCATATCTGGTATGGTATTCCCTGAAAAGTATGGCAACAGGACCCTAAGCTAACTAACTATTGTCTATACATCCTTCTAATTTTTTAAGGATTATTTATAACTCAGACAGAGAAGGATTGTATTAGTTTAAATAAAATCTATCTATGCCTGTGTATATGTGTCATTGTTGTTCCAGAACTTTTGAACGGATTTCAATGCAATTTATTTTGTTTGAAAGAAAGTATTTGCAAAATGGGTTTTACCATGTTTCCAGGATCTTCTGCTTTTCTTTGTTAGGGATTTCAGCTATGTTTTCTTCAACAAAATTTGGTTTATCGTCATGTACTGTTCAATGAATTTCGAAATAAGAAGTTATTATTTTTTTAAAATACTACAAATGGCGCGGTAAACGCCATCTGTAGTACGATGCTACATTTTGGGATTCGGTATGCTCCAACAAGGTCCATTTAAATATATGGATATCTACTTGCTGAAACGAATCCCGGCGTAGCTAACCTCAACGTGATAGGCACGTTACCATAATCGAATAAAATAATTCGAAGTGGTCTGTATTCTGTCGAAACTGCCAGACGCGGATCGCGATTTCGATCTTTTTGGATCTCATCAGCGCGCCGCAGGCAGCTCCGACAGAACACAGACCAACTTTTACAGCGCGTTTTAGAAAATACTACAAATGGCGCGGTAAACGCCATCTGTAGAACGATGCTACATTTTAGGATTCGGTCGGATTCGGATTCGCTATCCGCGTCTGGCAGTTTCGACAGAATACAGACCACTTCGAATTATTTTATTCTATTATTTTCATGATTATCATATTTCGTGGTGTACCTAGGTGCTTTGTCACAAGAAAGGACGACATTGCAAAGTTAAGGAGGTTGTCGAATTAGAAGGCTCATTACCCAGAGATTTTCGTCTCTCTCGTTTTATCCGTTGAAATAACCTGGTCAGACGGAACACGTGGTCACACGGAGGTACCTGTGCATGTATCGTATGTGTGTGTATCTTATATTTTATTAGCGTGTACAAGAGTTGTAATCAGCGTCATGACTTCACTTCGTAGGACCGATAACGTATCGAATATAACTAATGGCCCGTCCGTAGGAATGTGTGCAGTCATTCGGTCATTTAGTTTTTTGTCCGAGACCGGAGTTTGTTCGACCCCGCTGAGCTCACAAATTAGGTTGCGGAGCGCGTGCCCCATCATATGCGACCGTCGAATTGGCTTTCACAAGGAAATTCTATTAAAAGTAAAACTATACAACGTCCGCTGCATCGTTACGAGGTTCTCAATGAAATCGTTTTAGCGTGAAAAGTATCCCCAGCTTTATAAACATGG